TCACAGGACGGTGATATGACGATCGAGCACCGCGGATGCACATGATCGCCGACCGCAACAATGCAAACGCCAGTCGACACCGGACATATGTCATTATCTGGGCATACAACTTCGTGTCCCCACTCGAAATGAGGCCACACAGGCGCTTAACAAATCTGGAGCACTCTGGCGCACAACAACCGGCCGTGGTGAAAACTAGTGGAGTAAATGTCCCACGGTCCACATTGATGATGCGCTCAGCATACTGCAGCTTCTTCTTCCTCTCATGCTCCGCCAACAGTTTGTCGAGAGGTTTGGTGGCATAGGACGGAGCATCGGGATGAAAAACCCGGACATCCAGGAAAGCATTCTGTGCCCTGGTCCACAGCCCTCGAGCCCGGATATCAGCGCGAGCATCGTTGGCGGTGATAGTTGAGGCTGCCAGAAACACCTCTCCCGAAACCGGAGCAAGCTGAGGCTCGACAGCGACATCCGAGCAAACTTCAGTAAGTAAATCGGCAAGAATATCGCGAACTTCATTGTGCCGAATTGTGGGGAAACCACCAGTAGGGCAACACATGGCATGGGCCGGACTAAACGGTCGGCCACAAGAGCAGGTAGTAGGCACATCAACCAATGCCCAGTCATACCGCAACGCCACCGCATCCCTGAAATCTCCCTTCGACAGATGATATCCGTGTTCTCTGATAGGCAGTGTGTTGAGCCAGCTAGAGACACCTCGGGAGGACAAATGCTCCAAACGACGCGACATATCCGCCGACGCCGACTGCCGCAGCTGGCGGAACTCAGCCTCACTTGCTGTGCCGCGTTGTCTGGCAAAATCCCTCTTGGCTGTCATAGCATCTTGCCGAACATGTTCCGGTGCTTGCTTGGTCCATGATGTGTTGTTCTGTTGCAGAATTTCACTAACCTGGGCTGCTGTCATTGCTCTGGAAGCGCCGCGCTCTGTCCGCTCATGCTGTGAAAGTGTGGAATGGCCATTCCCCCGAAACGAGTCGGCAGCCTGAGCATCACCAACTCCTCCGTGGTGAATGCATCTCGACCAGTTGCAGCCGGCAAGAACTCAGTTTCGATTACCTTGTCCAACGCTGATACTGCGTCCTCCGGAATGGGAACCGTACGAAAGAGGTAGACCCAACGACCCCGCAGGCCATGAGTCAAAGCTGCATAAGCCGCGTGAGGCTCTGTGCTGGCAAACTTTGCTAATGTGCGTAGCTCCTTGCACCAATCATCAACCCTCTCCCTCACTTGGCTGGCAACATCATCAGGCTCCCCGATGTATGAGCCCAGATATTTAGTGCTGCCGGTGACAATGCGGACACCGGTGCCTTCAAACAGATGTGAAGCCTCCTCCTCCAATCCGGGCTTCACGAGAAGTAGGGTTTTGTCCGGATTGGTGAAATATCCATACAGGCGACCATGTTCCTGGATTGTTGTCCACCAGTCTCGAATCGCTCTCATCCTGCCAGCACCACTGGAGTCATCCGCATACCAAATCTCCTTAACGGCGTCGTGTTGCTGCTGCAAATGCCGAATGATGGGGAGTGTGGCCAATGCATAAAATGCCATGGACAGCGGGTCTCCCTGGGTAGTACCCTCCTTTGACGAAATCTCCCCACCACCAGCGACAAACAGACGTGCCTCCGACTGATAGGAGTTTAGAAGAATGGTGGATAGTGCTGGACAGAGGCGCTGAACGTTATGCAGAGCTGCCTGTCGGTTTATGCTATTGAATGCGTTACTGGCATCCACCAACAGCACTCCCTCAGTGGACGATTCGTTGTAAATGTCTTGCATGGCATGCACTGCTGCTTCAATGCCACCTGGTGATCCAGCGCATTTCTGAAAATGTCCGCAGGCTGCCTCCACGTCAGTGGAAGCAATGCGCAGAATAGCCTTCGATACTATCCGCCTAAGCACCTCGCCCACGCCAATAGGACGTACGCCAGGCTGCTTGTCAAGGGCAATCAGCCGGCAAGACAGAAACGCCACCAGGCCTTCAGCGGGAAGAACACGGGTAGGAAGAAGACGAGAGAGGTCAGCAATAGCCTGGCACAGACTGGTTGATGCCCCCTTAAAAGAGGAGCACATGCGCCGCCAACATGCTGAGTCCATCCCAGACGGACCTGCTGATCCCTCCGAGTGCATCGCCACGGATTTCAGAAACTCAGCAGTGAGGCCATCGAAGCGTATGCCTTCAACACCGGGGGCATCCCCAGGTAGCATGGCTTCAGAAGGTGGTAGCCGAGCCTCCGGATGCTTGTCCAGTAATGCCTCTTTGACAGGAATAGAGGAACCATCCCAGAGAGGTACGGTATCGTTGATGTTCAGCACACCACCCGCTTCACCACGTCTGACTGGATCCAGGCATCTAAGTGCATCATGCACACGGCCCTGGCACATGAGGTCGGAGAAGTGGCGAGCCTCATCTTCCTCACCTCGCTTGCGGCCTCCCTTACGAGGCCGAAACAGCAAGTCTTGCAGGCAGCGGCCTTCGCTCATTAACCCATTCAGCGCTACTGGGCCTTGCCTATGGTACTCTGCATATAAAATGCTAAAAACAGGGCCAATAGCAAGTTCTAAAACTCCAGGGTTCTGGCAACTGGGGTTCTCAAATATTTTGGAAATGATTGCCAAGACTATCAACTACAGGGTGACAGAATCGATACAGTCCCCAAAAAGAATAGCGCCTCACAATAGGGGACGCAAGTTTGCTCAAATTGCGTGAAATACGCCAAATGCGTGAAATTGCAGCTGAAAGATCGCTGAAAAGAGAAGAAAAAAAAGACGTGTAGTGTTTTCAAGCTGGATTCGTACTAACGACCTATCGTACAAGAGGCAGGATCATGAACCAACTGACTAACAGTGCTTTTACACACCAGACAGTGCCAGAAATCACTATATATCCCATGACGTCTATAGACGTCATCCCGCGCATGGGGGGCATTTTCAATGACGTCTATAGACGTCATCAGCGTTCAATGGGTTAATGACGTCAAATTCCCCGCTTGCCACAATGCCATTCGCCGCTGCAAATGCAGGGTATTCTCCTTTGGTTTAATATAGCTACGGGTTGACTGCAACATCAGGGAAGGAAGCACGGAGAACCGGTAGAGAGCGATGCAGTCAGTGCCAGGAGAGTCAGTGAACCGTCGAAGCTCTGCAACTAATAGATTGACAAAAGCCTTGCCAATGGACCCCGTCGGGATACGAAAGAACTGCTTCCGCCAATGAACGATCTCATCATAGCACGACGTTATGGAGAGTTGTCCCTGATCCTCTCGCCCGATGCCCTGCACTGGTAGTATCTCCTGTTCGTCTCCAGGAGTAGGAGCAAATCGAGAGTTGGCGCTTTCCCGAGCGGGACTAGGCTCAGCATTGTCCTGGTTCACCGCCAAGTGTACTGGAGGCGCTGTAGGAACCAGCGGTGGCATGTCCTGGCTTTGTGTGTTGGCTGGTGAAGATGATGGTGCCGCTGCTAAAGACGCATCCCGGGCTCCAGCGCGAGTTCGACGTTGCGTGGAAATCTCACTTGGGTAAACTCTTCTCAACCAGGCAGGGGGTTGATCGTGCCAATCCACGCTTGGGTGAAGGTCGGCGCCAGACCTAGTTGCGCTGTGTACAGGACCATCCCGACTGGCAGCCTGAGATGTAATGCCGTTGACAACTACACCATCCACCTGGCTGTTGGTAACGCGAGTTCCGGAACTACATGTAGCGCCGTCACCCACACCAGTGCTGTGGCCACAGGACGCTCCAGTCCCAACGCCTGGAGTGCTATTTCTGCAGGTTGATGGGTTGTTGCGACTCGGGTAGCAGTCAACACATGGGGTGTCAGCAGCCTTGCAAGCACATCGCTGACACTTCCCCGTGAGCTGGCACTGGCAGCAGGGCATTGCCGCTACTGGAAACAACAGTTGGAGACGCGATGTCGGCTCGACATGGAGGTGTGACGACTGGTGACTGCGGGCAGAACCCGACTCCAGAAAGTGGTGAGAATCTGCTAACACAAAATATGAACAGTAACCAAAGAAACCAAAGGAAAAAAAGAACAAAACCCAACACAACACGGTAAAACAACAGCAGAGTAGCGTTCTCATCAAGGTCTCCTTCTTCTCCAGCCTCCAAGCAAATCGAGCAGTCACCAGCACCTCCAGAGCTCCAGAATCTCCAGAATCTCCAACCGACACGTCCGATTTCCATACCATGATCAAATAATTATATTATGTTTCTGACTTGATTCTCATCGTTATGACACAAGCCATCAGAAAACCACCTTGCACGTTGACTGTCAAGTGTTCATTTTCGCTTTCCTCTTCTGCTTCTGTTGCACAGTTTGAATGTGTGCTTTTTTCGTACTCTGCTCTGGATCGAATCATGCGCGGATCGATCTCCATAATTTATCTTCCGGTGCCATGACTAGCATTAGTACGCGTTGTGTACTCACTCGCTGCTTGACACGCTTGCAGCACATTTTTCTTCTGTTTCAACCCAGTGCCTGTGTGCACGGTACGGGATTTGCGATGCCACATCAGCGTTGGTGTATCGTTGTGCTTCGTTGTTGTTTTGTTCTTTGCTGAGTGGTCGTTAAAAACTGAGAAAGAGCGGGTCGTTGACAGGGCATGGTTTCGATGTGCATGTCCTCTGTCATCCAAACTACTCAGTCTGCATGTGTTTCTTTCATAGGGTGGAGGAATATGATGTTTATGGTCACCCGTACACCTATGTCTGACCTGCACGGTACCCGCCTCTTTCTACATACTTCCTGTTGTGTTTGACCTATGTACCCTGGGTTGATTGACTGTCATTATCGCTTGTCTCCCTCTGGCTTGGCTTGTCTTTCTTGTCTTCTTGTCTGCACTCGACATTATTATTATCCTGGCGTTCCTACTTGAATGAACTATTGCACCCCACATGCCCACTCTGGCCTACCCAGGATGCTGTTCACCCTCCAGAATATGAAATAATTGATGCAAGAAGAAATATTTAGTAAAACTTACAGTATTCTTAGTTTCGTGATATTCTGGAACTGGTCCTCTCCCACATACGAAAAAGCATTTAGTGGTAGATTCCTGAGCATCCGAAATGAGGAGAAACCAAAAGGAAAAAAAGTGATATGAAATTCGGCCCAACATTTTTTTCCGGTGTGTATAATATACATAAGTAAAAGTGGGGAGGCTTCCTGCAGTTTCATGAACAGTTAAGTAGTAGAGCACACACGTTCTCTTCCATTAACACTGCAACAGTTCAACTCATTTCACAATAATTGTTACAACGTTTCGGCAATTTGCCTTCATCAGGTTCACAATAGAGTGCAAGCTCCTAAACCAGCATTGATAAAGGCCAACAACTCCCCTGTCAGTAAGAGGGTGTGAGAAGCAGCGCGAAAAAGAGTTCAGCTAATACTAGCGCTAGCATCGACTATCAGTGGAGGGTAATACAGCTGAGGTAAAACCAAAACAACACATTCAGCGCCGATGTCATGATAATCAGACGATAAACCAGTGGCGATAAAAAATACAGCAATGACCACCCAGCGTTAGTGTTTATCTTTGGAGCCAAATTTCTGATCTCCACAGCCTCCCTCAATTTCCTGCTAGCTCTGTCGCCTTCTCGAGCGAGGACTGATACTGCTATGAAGGCGCTATCTCGCATCCTCAATCTCCTGAGCGAATGCTTGCTTCTCATGTGGTCACCCCAAGGCTTGTCATGAGTCCTTCGACGTGCTTCTCCATTGTGTGCCTTTAGGCGGTTCTCTAGTGATCGTTCTGTCTCTCCAGCGTAATATTCCGTACACCATTCCCAATCTATTCTGTATACTACATTCTTTTTCATGCAAACCTTCTCCCCACCGGATTGACAAGTAAGACATGGCACAAGCGTGCGGCCTCGTCTCCTACATTGCGTAATATTCTGCTATTTGACACACTGGGGCGGAGACTGTGCTGAATGACATAATTGATTGCGGAGACTGCCCGAGTGCTCACAAACTACTCTTACCGGCAGTTTGTACTTGCAAATGGCCCTGTTCACCCTATGGTCAACTTGATCCGACTTAAACGGTAGTTTAAGGAATGCACAGCGTGGGTTTCCTCTGCGTCGACGTCTAGGCTTCCTTGCCACTTGTCTTGCCTCTGATATAATGTTTTCTGGATAATGGTTCAGGAGTAGTTGTTGGTGTATCTTATGTTCACTTTCCCCCCGCATCTGAGCATTGGATGAGAGTCGCTGTGCCCTCAAGAATTGCGACTGTGCAACGGCCAACTTGACATGAGTAGGGACTGAAGATGCGTAGTCAACTAACAGACCTTTGCTGCAGGGCTTCTGAAATAGTCTATATGACAATTCGCCTGGCTGTTGAATAGCGATAGTGACATCCATATAGTCTAGGCAGCCCCTGTCGCAGCTCAGATCATAGGTGAACTTGATTCGAGGGAACTGAGTTGAACTGTTGCAGTGTTAATGGAAGAGAGCGTGTGTGCTCTACTACTGAACTATAATATACATGTCCAACAAATCCATCCATGCACACATGGAATTGTACTGTCAGCATGTGAAAAGGGGATTATACCGGTACAGACACATCTATGTATGATGCTAAGTGCAAAAGAGTGTAATCTTACAGGTAAGTCAGGTTAGGAAATCGTCCATAATCCTGGGAAATAGAAATCCCGCCGTTCTCGATGGCCCTGTACAGAAGAATTCATAAGGTCGGTATTTGAAAACAAGGAAGGACCAATCAATTACGAGTTATGCCGTCCGTAATTATCGATCTTTTTCACGAAGAAAAAAAGTTTCGTTTATGGGTGGGTGGGTTGAGGAGGGTTTTGTTTGAGGAGAGTTTTGTTTTGAAAAATTATCGATAGCTGAAACATCAATCTATTCTAGCTGTCAAGTTTTCATTCAAGGGGGAGGGTGGGAGGGTCATAATTAAACTTTTTCATTCCGTGAAAGTTATCGATATTGTCAGATGGTCCCTAGCAGTCCACCAAGGTAACCATAATATTATGCTGTCAGATAGTGCGATAACAAGACACAAAACTGACATGGATATTGAATATCCCTGTCAGTTTATTGTGCCTTGTTGTCGCACAACACATCCAACTACCTTCTGTTGTGTCAACAAACACACAAGGTAGAGGTTTTGACTTATGTTTTGGAACACAAAGAGAAAAGACTTCTTGTCCAGAGCAAAGGCCAGGCAGAAAACTGCGATGCATGTGTGTACCAGTCCTGGAGATGTCCTAGATAGGACATCCCGGAACCCAGCAATGGTCCCGAGCATGCATCTACGCTGTTCCCATAGTAATCGAGACACGTGACTCAAAACTTTGTGTTGCGTCCGCGGAAGATGAATATGTCGCACTCAAAACAAACGCAACGAACGCATTTCGTTTCAAAAGTTGTCGTTCTCCTAGCTCCTGGCGGCTTGCCTCAAGCCAGTCAAGATTCGTATCTTGCCTCTTGCCTTCACAAATTCAGAGAGACACCTCTCAGGATGTGGCCGACAAGGGCATTCAGCAGCTCATCCCAATGTCAGCCATCACTGGCAACGATCTCGACGGCCTCATATCCACCATCACCGACTACTTTCAGTCAAAGCAGAGCTCCAGCATGGCCCCCTTCCATTTTCGTCAGGTCACCCAGCAGCCTGGCAAAACATTCGACACGTTTTATACTCGTTTGCTGGCATCGGCAATGACCTGCAGCTTCGCTGACGATGCCCGGAAGAAAGTGGCTCTGTGTGGTCAAATTGTGGCCGGATTCACATCCGATCCGCTCCGTAGGAAACTGCTGGAGACTGTGTCTCTCAACCTCGACAAGGCGCTACAGGCTGTCAGAGCCCTCGAAGCGGCAGTGGAACAGATGACTGCGTTCTGGCGTGCATACGACTCTGTCAATGCCCTCCTTCATCAGCCACCGTTCCACGACATGACACAGCTACTTGCTCCTACTGCTTCAGCTCCGTCATGTCGACTAATGTAGTCTGCCCTACCTCCAACCGCCTGACCCAGCCACCACTCGCGCTCCAGGCCAGCAGGATTCAAGCACATTTCGCTGCTACCATTACGGAGAGCCAGGCCACCGGTCCTATGATGGTGCTTGTGGCAAGCGCTGGCCCAAGTGTGTTAAGGTTGCGCTCACACGACGATAAAAACTCTCGAGAAAGGTTGCATGGTGAGCGAGAAAAAGTACTAGTGCACTCACATGAGACTTTTACGTTTACGTTTACGATTACGATTACGAGTCACACAAGTATCAGCGAGTAGTAAAATACCTATTTCACTACTCTCTGGTGGTGATATTCCCCGGGCACGCACGCGTGGAGAAATGAAAAATTCATCATGATTGTGGATCGTCACCGAGCTTTTTCTTCGTTGTGGAGAAGACGATGAATGACTGACATGCTTCACTGGTGTTTTTCATTTGTTTTTGAGACTTCAAAATCTGGAAGTTGTCTTCTCAGTGCATACATACAACTGAAGAAATGCAGGAGGGATCGACTCGGCCCGTCGTATTCTTCCCGCGAAGGAGAAGCTCGGACGTGCAGCTCTGGCTGCACAGGGATTTCATCTCGCTCGCGCAACAATAACAACATTTACTACTGGACCTTGATGCTCGGCAGGCTGTCCAAGCCTTTTAGAAGTTATGATGAAGAAAGGAAAAGGACAAAATGTAACGAGTTATGACAAACTGCCCACCAAAGTAACCAGATCTTATACGGTCAGCGAGTGCGACAAAACTTTGTCATAACTCGTAACATTTTGTCCTTTTCCTTTCTTAATCATAACTATATTGGCTCACCATCCCAGTTCAACTTTTAGAAGTTGTTTGCTTCGGCGGATTTTTTATTTATTTTTATTTCACTGTCCAATTGCAGAAGCCAATGCAAAGGAGGGGGCATTAGCCAGCCACGGCAAGAAAAGGAAAAAGAAAGAAAGAAGGAAGATGATAATCGGAAGAAAAGACTGATCAGCGGGGTGAAATTTATCACTATGTTGACCATGGTGGAGAGCGGCGAGATAAGCTAGCAAAAGAGGCAAGCGAGCCTACAACGTGGCATGACATTTAACATGGTCTATGAACTGTCTAATATTGGATATTGTCTTCATTTCCATGGGCAGCTTGAGCCAATACGAGTATGCAGAGAAGATAGGAGATTTGGTAAACATAGTTGACAAAGCTCTGGGAAGTACTATGCCATTGTGAGTGTCCTGTGAGAAAGTAAACCAATTATACTTGCTGAGATGTTCAGGCACAATTTGCAATTTCAAATTTGGACTTCACGGAGAATTTTAATTAAAGTATTGGGAAATTAGAGTATGATGCAAGCCAGATGTGGATTGATCGAAGAAGGATAGATTTACCATCACTGTGGATAAGTGTCATACTGCAGCTCAGTTGGTTAGAGCATTGCTCGCGAATAGCAAGGTCCCTGGTTCGAGTCCCGGTGGTGTGACTGATGATTTTTTCTTTCTTTCTTTCATATCTGGCTTACAAGTGTTGAGTTTCGGAGAGAAAAGAGCAGTACGTGGCATGAGATGTTCAGGGACAATGTTCAGTTTAATACGATGGACCAGAACGCATGACTGGCACCAAGTTGCAGAAAAAGAAGTCGAACAGTATGGTATTCATCAGACATCATGCAGGAACGCTCAGCGATTATATTTCTACCTTTGACCCCCCCCCCCCCCTGCCTCTGGAGGTTCCGAGCAACCGTTTATGTTTTTCTCGGTCGGATTATGATTTTCGTGCCACGCGACCCAATCACCATGGTCACTTTCCTGTAGGCATCATTTATCGCGTGGTGTGAGCGCAACCTAAGTGGGCCACCTCGCCAAAGCTTGTTCGTCCATGCAGAGTACTAGTAGTCCAGCTTCAATACACAGATGATGTCAGACCCCATGTACTCTCAGTCTCACAGCATAGACACCAGCTACACTTCAGCTGATGCTCTATACACTGCCCATACTAGTGTAGCGTTGGTCATGCGTTGGTCACGCTTCAAGCTCAGCATTTGCGTTAACGCTCAGCGTACTGTAAAAATACGACGTTCGCTACAAGCTCAGCATTTGCGTATATGCTCAGCGTACTGTTCATTACGACGTTCGTTCTACCATACAACGGTCGCATGACAGTACGTTGCTGGTTGTGATTATTTTCCATAAATTGTGTTTATTTTATCTTTCACAATGAGTTCAGAGTTTTACTGCTAAAGACAGTTTTTTCCGTTCTAGAGAGAGAGAGAATTGTTAATAAAGTAACACGTTAGTTAGTTTCGAGTTGTTAGGTTGTTTTGTCTCCAGGCCCGCTACAAAATTGGTGGCAGCGGTGGTTAAAGTCAACTTTGTCAGATTCGACCCCACCTGTTTTACATTGTTAGCAATGGCGCTACAAAATTGGTGGCAGCGGTAAAGATTTGTTCTAGTTGCATGTTTTCCGACGTAATGGCCGCTACACATTTGTGACAGCCGTCAATTTTAGTTTTAGTTTTCATCCACGTTTCGCTGAGGGCTCAAGTTAGTGTATCTGAAGGAGCACCCGCCGTCACCCGCTGCTGCCCCAGCTCCGCTGCTCCTGCAGCCCGCCACAACTAGCCAGTCATGATGGCAGCCAGCGTGCCTCTAGGGATTGGGCTCCATGACAGATAGCGCTAGCGTCTCAAAGGATGGAGCTCCATGTACATTGCCAGTGTGAGCTAATTCCAGATATGGCATTTTCTTTCCTCTCTTCCTTCAGTCTTCCTGTTCTCTTCAGTCTTCCTTAACGCGAGCGTGTGAATTCAGTTTAGTTTCGTAGGCGTCTGATCATGGTGAACCATGGTCTGTCTAAATAATCTGGGACAATGTTAATATATAATTATAGTGTATTCAGTTCGGTTCTGAACTGCTTTTTTCCTGGTGGGTTGCACCAGCGTTTTACAGGAAGTGTAATGAGGTTTCCCTTTTGAACCCGTGAGATAGTTTGACCCCGGTGTGCTTCTATTTTTATGATTTGTTATCAGTTCATTTCTTCTGTCTACTCTATAAACGTTATAATTTCCGATATTATTTGCTATACATATTCCGGTTGACGCTCTATGTTCTTTCATCGAGGTTCTCCCGACGCGACCATGCATACTGCCGAATGTTTCGACCGCCAACACACTACTAATCACGAGGACGTGATTGTCTTTGAGAGGGGAGGTGTAGCGTTGGTCACGCGTTGGTCACGCTACAAGCTCAGCATTTGCGTTTACGCTCAGAGTACTGTAAAAATACGACGTTCGCTACAAGCTCAGCATTTGCGTATATGCTCAGCGTACTGTTCATTACGACGTTCGTTCTACCATACAACGGTCGCATGACAGTACGTTGCTGGTTGTGATTATTTTCCATAAATTGTGTTTATTTTATCTTTCACAATGAGTTCAGAGTTTTACTGCTAAAGACAGTTTTTTCCGTTCTAGAGAGAGAGAGAATTGTTAATAAAGTAACACGTTAGTTAGTTTCGAGTTGTTAGGTTGTTTTGTCTCCAGGCCCGCTACAAAATTGGTGGCAGCGGTGGTTAAAGTCAACTTTGTCAGATTCGACCCCACCTGTTTTACATTGTTAGCAATGGCGCTACAAAATTGGTGGCAGCGGTAAAGATTTGTTCTAGTTGCATGTTTTCCGACGTAATGGCCGCTACACATTTGTGACAGCCGTCA